GAGGATGCCCCTCTTGAAGGAACCAGGCAGACCAAGAACATGATTTCCCATGTCAATGTGACTGGCTCCATGTCTACGAGTGGTGACCGAGTTGTCACCAAACCAATCACCTGCCTTGAGTTTCCAGCTGCTGACTATGGTAGCAAGACGAAGGAGTCCGGCTCCCACCTAAATGCCATGGCTGACTTTCCAGGCCTATCTGTGGGTCAGGACGAGGTTTTCCTCATTGTCCTTGTAGAAGCAGCCACCCTTCGCACTGGTCGCCCTCTCTAAGGACCAGGCATCACACCTCCCAGGTGGGAAATGCAGCCGGGGACTCAGGACCTCAATCGGGCAGCAGTGGGCACACACATACTGGTCTACAATCCTCGCCATGGGATCCCTGAGACACCTCCATTCAGTAGGCAGATCTTTTGGCGCCCGTTGCACTGACAGGAGGCCAGTAACAGCTCTCGGGACCTGGCAATTTGACACCTGTCGTAATTTACCATCTTCACACCTGGAAGCTTGACAGAAACTGACACTGATTTTAGTGGAGATATCAGGAGACTTGAGGAAGACAGGGATGTTATAAATACTTTCAAATGAGCCAATCAGAATGTGAACACTCTCTTCCCTACTGTTACCCCCAAAACCAAACACTAAATAATGGGAGGCTCACCTGAGCAGATGACACTGGCGTCCTCCCCGTGGACACAGTTGTGCGAGTTCCAGCCATTGTGGGGGCAGTGCCATAGGTTAGACTCATGCCCAGAGCAGTGCACGTTGTCAAGGAAAATGGGCCCGTATCCCTGACCAAACCGGGCACTTCCTGGGGCCGACATGGCCCAGCCACAGCCCAGCTGCCTGCACACCACGTTGGCGTCATTGGTGTCCCAGTCGTCATCACACACGGTGCCCCAAGAGCCTTGGTACAGGACCTCCACGCGGCCTTGACACCAGTTACCTCCATTCACCAGCCTCAGGGCCAAACCTGTCTCATCCCCTAGAAGGACAAAGAACAAGACTTGCTGTCCATGTCTATCTTCTGGTCACAGGCTTAAGGTCTATTATAGCTCCAGGGGCTTGCTCGTGGCTGAAGTTCCCTGGGCACCATTCACCTTTGAACATGCCCAGAGTTTAATCTTCATCACAGGGAAATAGTGGAAACATCCTATACATCCTGTGCCTAAGGATGCTCTGATGCAGAGAAGCACCTTATGATTCAATTGAGGTGAGTAGAAAGACAACCCCAAACCACACTGGGCATGCTCAGGATGGAGCCCCATAGCTACCAGTTGCAGTCCAAGAATACTGCTCTTTTGGGTAGCTTGTTGGCTTCTGGGAAGCCCTGGCTGGTTTCTGGCAAAGTCTCAGGACATGATGGCAACTTGGCAAGAAAGGAGCAGTACCAGCATGTAGCCCTCTCTTCCTGAGGCTACACTCCATGTCCTGGGAGCCATGAGCAAAGTCCCAGCAGAACTACTGAGGGCTCCAAGGATTACATTAACCTCCCGCAGGAACATCTTTACTGAATTTCAGCCCATGATTCCCCTTAGTCAGGTGGCCAGCCCCTTTAAGATCAGACCTAGGATCTGAGAGACTGCTCTTTCTATCACCAAACACACACACACAGGGACAGATAATGAAGGGCACACCCTGCGACTGCTCCTGTCACTTCCAAATCCAGAGTTTATCTAGAAGAACAATGAGTCAAGGGGGGGGAGTTGTTTACCTATTGTTGGTGTTACAGATGAGGAGTCAGGGAGCCAGGTGCCTGGAAGGGATGACAAAGGGAAAGGCCAGAATTAGACATCATGGAAAGCAGTCTTTTAAAAGAGTTTTTGGCAGGCCACTGACAACTGCACATTGCAGACTGCCACCTTGCTCTATTTGTGCTACACAAGCCTCCTGCTCAGCCAGCTTTCTTGGGATGAAGGTCATGCAAGAGCACAACCTTTCTGTCCACATCCATCTCTAAGCCTAGCACGTTCTTTCTCCCTTAGAAAGCCTTTGCCACCTCTCTGCTCTGAGGCATGTAGTCTGAGCAGTTTCCCACGCTCTGAAGTTTGGGCAGAAAGAGTCAGGAACATGGGGGGTTGAGTTGAAACCAGTCAAGTATCCTATTACCTGAATGTTGCCATCACTTATTACACTCCCATTCCCTGGGCACTGTCTCTGCCACTTTGGATACACATGTGACCCTGATGAATCTGAGGGTGTTGAAAGCAGTGAGCGATGAAGGGAATCTAGCCTGCCCTAAGGTCCCTTACAGAGGAGGTTATTGGTCATCTGCATCCATTCTCCCACTCAGCATGTCAGCCAAGATTGCCTTACAGCTGAAATTCATATAACACAAGGCCAGTTCCCTGAACCTGCAGGCAGCTGTCTCCTGCGACAGCTTGAAAGCACTAGATGAAACCTTATGGATTGATGGACATATGAGACTTTAGGATCCCAGGTCTGGTTAAGAACCATCTGTTGGGGATCCCATGACATGAGAGAACTAAAGGTGTACATAGGTTCTACAAATAACAGTGGTTCTTCCAGAGCTGGAAGAAGAGGGATTGATGGGAATGAAGAAAAGTACCATTCCAAGTAGGGTACAAGGACTCACCTTGCTGTATTGTGGACTGGGACTGAGCAGCTGTGAGAAAGAAATTTGAGGTTAGACACAAAGTGACCGGTGCCCTAAATGGATCAAAACTGGAAGACTATCAGACTATGCATCCAGAGCTGAGGCCTTCATATGCCCTTGAGTAGACAGAGCCAGGGTCTGCCATGAATCTCTCTGTCCTCTGGGAGCTCCACCATATGTCCCATTGCCATTGCCTGCCTTGCTAGGTCTGAGAGCTTACCTTCCAGCAAGCAGAAGGCCACCACCCTGCCTGCCCAAATCAGGCCCCCCAAATCATTGCGTTCACTCAGTGTGGGAACAGCAAGAATGTATCTGGGCAGTTATTCTAGGAAGACTCCAATTCCACCAGCCCAGGTGCAGTGCTCTCCATCTTTACAAGGTTTCTTGGGCTTTATGCAGGGGTGAAGCTGAGGCCCCTTAGTCATAGGTAGTTCTTCAGCATTCTATGTACTCCTGAACCGCTATTCCCTGCACCTTCCCCACTTCCAGCTGCTATTCACTGCCTGCCCAAATTCACAATGTAGACTGCAATCCTGTTCTCCGAGTTTGCTTCATTGATGACCCAATATAATATGACAATGGAGGAGCAACGGTGCATTTTCCAACCACATTCCCGAGATCTGTGCCTTGAGAAGGAGGGTTCTGGGAAATTGGTGGTGTACTGGGTAATGATCCTACTGTGAAGGAATAGGGGCTCTTTTTTTCTTTCTACTGAAGAGTGGATGGTTTCTTTCACCAACCATGCCATTGCTGCTGCAAAGTAATATTGGTTCTTTTCTGTTGGCCTAATAGGGGAGAATAACACACCCTACCCTTTCTTTTTCAGTATACATCAGTAGCCTTCTATCTCCAGGAAACCTTAGGAGGTACAGGATATCTCAGAGGGGGCTATATGTGGGCCTTGTAGTATGTAGTGTGCTTGTTCCCATCAAAGACCACTTCAGAGAGAGAGCCAGGGATATTTGCTTTCCACCTGAACAGATGACACCAGCGTCCATAAGGAGTATGGCCACAGTTGTATGAGTACCAGACATTGTAAGGGTAGATCCACTGGTAGGACTCATGCTCTGAGCAGCGCACATTGTCCAGGACAATTGGCCCTGAGCCTTGACCAAACCTAGCATCTCCTGGGGCCAACGTGGACCAGCCACAGTTCAGCTGCCTACAGACCACATTGCCATCATTGGTGTCCCAGTTATCATCACACACGGTGCCCAGGAGCCTCAGTACAGGACCTCCATGTGGCCCTGACACCAGTCACCACCACTCACCAGCCTCAGGACCAAACCCAATTCAGGCCCTAAATGAAGGTATAACATTTCTCTTTTATGATGCCACAAATAACAAAGTCTTAGGATCTATTATATTCAGAGTGCTTCATAATAGGTAAAGGTCACTGAGTTTTAACTAAGCTGGACTCGTAAAGTATCACAAGTTAGAATTCTTCAAGGTTAAAAGGACAGTGACTTCTCTCCCCAATCCAAGCCACTAGAACTTCAGGGGGAAGTAAACGCACCATAGTCTGTATCCTGGAGAGGGCTTAAAGACTATCCACATGTTGTTCATTTGAGCAAAACAGGGACACAGCTCAACTTCTTGGGACAGCATATCCATGACTATCCCATGCTGAGGAGAATTCTCATCTGATGACACCAGGATGTCCTGTGAGTTCTTATATATGTCTTGGGCTCTTAGATTGGGTTAGAGAGCATTTTGCACATGCTCCTTCTGGCTCCATAGCCAAGTCTGTGGGGCTAGAATGGATGAAGCTAGTGCAGATTTGTGGGATGAAGCAGGTGGTACCATAGTCTAGAGACTGATCCCACTGGTCTCTGGCACAAGGCACCAAGGCTCCTAGATCTCATATTCCCACTGACTCCTCCCCACCCACCAGGGAGGGACAATGAAGGAAGCTCCAACTCAAGCTGGGCCCTGAGTCACAAGGGACCTTCCTTTATGCTAAATGCACACAACACTCCTTCTTACCCCACCCCCTAGAAGTCTTCCTGAATAAGAGTGAAACCTGTGTATATACTTGGCATCATTACTGACCAAAAAGGAGCCAAAAAAAATTATTCATTACCTGTTGTACCAGTAGTCTCAGTATCCACGGTAGTTCTAGCTGCATAGATAGATTATACAAGGAAGGGGAAAAAAAATCCCAGAAAATGTAAAGTTAGGTCCATCTGAGGAGAATCAAGGACTTGAAAGTAAAGTAGAAACTGCTCAGGAAACATAATTTCTGACCTGGATTTCATCTTGCTATGTGACTTTGGAAAAAGAAACAAACATGTCTAGCCTCAAGCTCTTTCATTCTAAAAGACTATTTTGGAAGGAATCTCTCTTTATTAACCTTTGGAACTTGATTCTGATTATCCCACATGTGACCTATGCAGGGCTCCAGGAGATAGATGCAAAAATAAAATTTTTAATCCTTATGCTTCTAATTGGTTTCTCTTATCTAATTGTATTGGCTAGTATCTCTTGATACACAGTGTTAAATGACAGGGTTTGTGAAGGCCATTCTGGCCTTGTTTTCTGCTTTAGTGAAAATGCTTCTGATGTTTACCCATTAAGTAACATTACAGATTTAAACCTATGATTTTTACATAGCTTCAAGGAGCTGTGGTGCTTGTCCAAGGCCCCAGCAAGAGCCTACTTGGTGCTGGGACCTGAAGAGAAGATGACCTGATTGCTCCTCTTAACCCACTGTCACTAAAGCATTAATTTGGTTTCTGAACTCCCTACTGGGCTTCTACATGAGGCCTTTTTGGTCTAGAGGAAGTGTGACTCCCACCTCTACCCACATTGGAGGTCCTGGCAAGAGTATCTCTATGTAAGTCCTATGTGCAGTCCTGTGTCATAGATATCTAAGCCCCCAGTCCCTCGCCTGCACACTCGAGTGGACTAGTTGTACGAGAGAACTTATCAGTTTCTCAGAGGAAACCACGCTAGAGAGGAGCAGGTTCTCCTCTTATAACTGCTACAAATAAGAATCTTTGGAAGAGACATGGCTAAATTATAACAAAGCCAGTGTCCTCCTCAGCTCTGGTGACATCTGTGTCCTTAATCATAGGGAAGAGAAAGAGGTAAAGTAAGGGTTCAGCCTATGGCCTTTAGGGACAGGAAAGCATAGTGCCTGAGGAACAGAAATGCCTTATGTGTACCATTAAGATTCCCAGTTGAGGGGCGCCTGGGTGGCTTAGTCGGTTAAGTGTCCGACTTTCGCTTAGGTCATGATCTCGCGGTTTGTGGGTTCGAGCCCCGCGTCGGGCTCTGTGCTGACTGCCAGCTCAGAGCCTGGAGCCTGTTTCAGAGTCTGTGATTCCCTCCCTCTCTGACCCTCCCCTGCTCATGCTGTCTCTCTCTCCTAGAAATAAATAAAATATATAAAAAAAAAAAAAAAGATTCCCAGTTGATCCGTGCTGACTCCTAGTCAGGGGCCTTTATGTGAAGGCTATCCTTCTCTAGTCCTAGGGTCAATGTTTCCCATGGGTTATGGTCAATGACTTTCCTTCCCAAAGCCCAGGTGGCCAGGAACTCAAGCTGTATTGACTACTTCCCAGCTCTTTCATAGGAGCTGTCCCCAGGGGAGTGCATGGGACCTCTGATGCCCATAAGCTGAAGGAACACGGTTCCTTTATATTGAGAAGGAACCAAGGTCGCCTGATATGGGTTCAGGAAAATGCACAAGCAGGCGAGGATGCTACCCCAGCAGGTTTGCACTTGCCTCTCCAGGCCCTACAGCCAAAGACCTAGCACCCCAGCCTGTCCAGGCATCAGCAGGCAGTGGTGAGGACCACAGGACCCTCCTGGAGGCAAGACACCAAGCTCCACCTTGGAACTCCTTGGAAGTGCCTATGCATGTCAATCCCTCCCCCATCTCAGGGACATGGTCCATGGAAGGGTTATCCATTTAGGCCCGAAGCCTTATTCTCAGGTTCCTCTTCGGAGCTGAGCACCCCTTTCTCTTACACCTTTTGCACCACTTCTGGATCAGAGATGGCCCTGTGGGTGCAGTGAGGTAATGAGCCCATAGAGATCCCATACAAAAATGTTACCTTCTGACACAGCTGTTTCCTGGGATGCCTCTGTGGAAGACAAAGAAGCTACAGAGTAGAGAAAAGAAAAGGTAATCAGTATTGGCTCTCATTTGAGAAGGGCTGAACTTGTGTTTCCTTAGCTCTGAAATAAGGGCTGCATGCAGAGATCCGGAAACCCCACCCACTGCTGAAAGGCTATATTTCTTCCTCACAAAACAGAATTCATCTCTCTGTCATTTTTCAGTCCTTATTCAATGCTGGAATGCCACCAGCGATGTTCCTTGCTCCCGCCACCATCCTCCCACCCCTCTGCCTCCACTGTGTCCATCAAAATAATCACCCAGTCGATGAACAGCCCCACCTGATTTACAAGATCACATTTCCAATACAAGCTGCCTATTTCTATAGCTTACCCACAGCCTTAAATGACAAATATCCACCATCGCTGAGATACTCCTGACGAGGTGGCCCCAAGTACAAATAACAGCAGTTTTTTCAAAGATGCACCCTTAAATGCTGAAACAAACCATTGCAAAGTGACTGCTTGGAGGCCCACACTCTCTGGGGGAAGCCATTCTCAAGTGATGGTTGGATTATCAGGGTCACTTCCTATATACGGTGGCATGTGCACACACCAGTCCACATAGAAAATACCAAAGGTCACTCTAAAGATGAATAATTTATCTAGGAAGCTCCCTTTGGGGGACACATTGAGTGATATCCTCGGAGTTTCTTTGTGGATTAAAAGACCACTTGGTGCTTGAACACCTACCAGCACTCTGTGAACAAAGGAGAAACTCAGCATTGGCATTTGCTAAGTTGAGTCAAGGAGAATTTCTCTCTTCCACTGAAAGTGAAAATATCTTTTGCTTGTCATCTAATCCCTAATAAAGAGAATATACTGGTTACTTCTGTGTTTGATTTTGGTATAGATTTAAGTTTTAAGGACCAGAAACCCCCAGTCCTTCTCTCCTGACTTTAAAAGGAGGAGGAAGTGCTACGTAGGAAGGTATTTGGTCATCCCAGGCCAGGGATCATCAGAATGATACCCCTGGGTGTTGCATTGGCAAACTCTGGAGGAGCCTGAGATTGAAACCACTTCTACCACTTCCCAGCTTTAGGACTCCAGGCAAGTCACGTGCCCTCTCTGAGCCTCCATTTCTTTATCTGTGAAAAGGAACCTGCTCTCTAACATCAAATAAGACATGGTTTAGATTAACGCATGTAAACTGCAAAGTGCTGTGGTCATGCACCGTGGTGTAGAGGTCAGCAGGAGCCTCTGTCATCCAAGTGGCACAGGTGACCACCCAAGGCAAGGTCAGCTCTACCTGAGCACACAACTCCGGCGTCTTCCCTGTGGCCACAGTCATGGTTGTACCACCCGCTGTGGGAGCAGCTTGACAGGTAGGGCTCCCATCCTGAGCAGTATACGGAGCCCAAGAGAATGTTCCCTGAGCCCTGACCAAAGCGGGCTCCGCCTGGCGCCGACACCGCAAGGCCACAGCCGAGCTGCCGACAGACGACATCTGCGTCCTGGGTGTCCCAGTTGTCATCACACACGGTGCCCCAATAGCCTTGGTACAGGACCTCCACGCGGCCCTGACACCGGTCACCACCGCTTACCAGCCTCAGTGGCAAACCTGCATTGAAAGAGTGGAAAGCCTTCATCCACTCTCTCTGCCCCCTTGGCTTTCACTCACCAGCACCCCCTGTTCTCCCTCCTCTGACTGCTGCCCTATCTCCTTCACCTTTGTTTTTCCTCCCCCAGCACCTTATATATCGCTGCTCAGCCATACCTTGTCTTAGCCCTCTTCTCATGCTATCTTCCCCCTGAATGAGCTCATGTGCTCTGAGAGCTTTTCAGGAGGAGGGGCCCCCAAAGCCACTGTTCCAGTGCCGATCAACCCTTACAAGCCCAGCCAAGCTCTAGACCAATATTCCCAGTGACCTTCTGGATACCCCCTCACCCCACACTGTCTGGTACCCAACACGGTCTCTTTTTTGTCTGCTTCAATCGTGGAGTCACCGTGCTCCATGTGAACTGTGTTGGCAATCTGGCTGCTCTATTTGATTCCCCCTCGTCTGTGCCTCTTGTATCCAACTTATCAATAGGGTTGTCTTTCCTTTTATTTTTGCCACCATTTTGCTAGACTAGATCTTCCTTCTCCTGAACCTGGGCCCTGCCAGTGGGTTTTCCTGCCCTCTGCCCCTCCCTATCATCCATCCCATTGACGGATTCCACAGCATTTATGGAGTGCTTACTCTGGTCTGGGCCCCCTCTTCTGCTGACAGGATTGACCGGTCTCTCCCCAGAATGTCCCAAGTTTTATCTTTATAAAATGTGGAAATGTTCAACTCACTTTCCTGCTCAGAGTGCCTCAATATACTCTCCACTTGATCAGGGTCAAGTGTTGGATGTCATTCTTCCAAGAGTGGGTGTCAAGGCACCTTTTGAGCCTCCTGACAGAGCCTGAGTGCCACCGTCATGGGCACCATGTTCCTGCCTGACATGATCCTGCTGAACTACCGCCCTGACTATGCGAGGAAAACAGGCAGCAGAGTCCGAGGCAACCAGCCCAACATCGTGACAGCAGGAACTGAGTCTAAGATGTGCTTTTCAATGGTTGGTTTGTGGTTATGAGAAATTTGTGATCAGGGAGTGACCAGAGAGGGTGGGATGGGACATAAGGCAAGAAGGCAAGTGGTTGCTGTGGTCATTGTAAAAGAAGGGATCAGCAAAGAGAGAGGAAAGGCCAATCGAGCTGCTTCTAGGGTATTCTAGAGGTGCATTCCAGGCCTCCTCAGCCTTTCCTGCTGTGAATGTCCCTGCAGAAGATCTCTCAGTCTCCCTGACCTCAATCTTCCCTTTACTGGTTGTCAATCACCAAAAATCTCCCCTTAACCCCTCACAGACCACTTTTAGACCCTCAGGGCAGGTTCTGAAAGGACAGGTATTGGCCTCAGCAGAGCCAGGAGCCCCACTGCAGACTCCACTGTCCTAAGTGAGCACATCAAGGACGATGGCATATCAAATTCAGTGCAGTGTGCACAGTTGCTCAGAGGCTGAGGAAACATGCGTAGATTTAGTAACAATAGCGGACCGAGGTAAAGGCACCTGTTCTGGGTTCAAATTTCTGCCAAGACACTTCCCCACCATGTGGCCTTAGACGTATAACTATTAACAAGTGACCAAACTGTGCCCCAGTTTCCTCATCTGTAACTTGGGGATAATAATACTACTTACCTCAAAGTGTTGGAAAGATTTTCATGATAGCAGCACTTGCTGTGTGCATTAGTCGAGCACTTATTATGTGCCAAGCAGTATTTTAAGTGATTTTTTTATACATTAACTCATTTGGTATATGAAAATAATTTTGTGTAAGGTACATAGAAAGTGCTTTGGAGATGTTAGCTGTCTTCAAGATAACTATCACTACAAAGAGGCACTGAGTTTTCTTTGCCTATCTCTCCTGACACCAAGCTGAAGCTAATTTCATGCAGTGAATGACCAAGAAGCAGAGAGAGGGAAGAAGAATGATAGATGAGACTGACTGAGTATGGATCTGGGACATGCCTAGGATCTCAGCATCCCCTGATCCTTCCCTCTCCATCCTTGCATTCTAAAGGGCAGGTACTTGCCCTGTGGCCAGAACTGCACTTAGCCTCAACTAGCCAACAGCAGCAGCAGGCAGCAGCAGGAGCGGAACTGGCTGGCTCAGCCAGTGAGCAAAACCCCAGGAAGACAAGTAAAGAAAAACGGCCTTACCATAGTCTGTAGTCAAGGGGTTCCACAGATCTAGATAGAAACAAAATCCACCTTGAAACAGAGGTTCTGCTGTTTATAAATATACAGTCACAGAAATTGGCTTGAGCATTACCTTACAATCATGCCAGGGGGCGCTGTGGCTCACTCTTGGGTCTGTAGGCCAGTAATGTTCTTGCAAAGTGTTTTGGGGTTTTGCAATAGTAGATTACAAGTGGGCTGGATATGGGGTGTTTGATCATTTTAGGTGGAATAAAGTATATGTTTCTTTACCCTGCCCACTTACACTACAATTTATAGTGTAATCTGTGCGCAGAAAGAAGGGCTGGACAAGAAAAGGTAGTTTAGACTGGTTGTCAAGAATTTTGGACACCCTTTGAATCCTTCTTCCAGTCTGAAATTTGAGTAGAGTCAGTGCTCGGAATAGACACTCAGAGGCCCCCTAAATGAGTATTTATTTTGGCATCAGGTATCCTGTTCCTTCTGACCCATATCCTGTGAAATTTTTAGTCTGTCTTGAAGAAAACCGACATCTAGAGAACCCATGCCCTTCCACTTCAGATTAGCCCTAAGGATACCTTCAGGGTCCATCAGACTCAATTTTAGTTCTTGAGTTTCTTTTTTGAGCAGATCTCATTCTATTTGTGAGGATTGCTATGTCATGACCTTTCTATGTTTTTAGAGGTCTTCCTAAGGACAAAAAGAATATTTATTCATTAAAAGTAAATAGAATAAAACTCATTCTTATAGGCACTATATGGGTTCACTGGATCCTTTAAGAAGTCCAAGGTACATTATGGGCTCTGAGTGATTGCCTTTTTTCCTATATCTTGAAACATTTTGCTATTTTATCATTTGAGGAATTGGTTCACCTTTACTCATTAGTTATTAACATCATAATAAAGAGTTCTATAATAAAGATGAAGAGAATGGTACATTATCTAGAAGAAAAATGGAATGGGTCACCATTTCTCAGTGAGCCAAATATCACAGTAGCTTTCAAGAGGGTATTTTTTAAAAAGATTGGAGACATTGTCTTTGTAGGATGCTTTGACTTTCATTGAATGAAATTAAGAATTCAGAACCTTTCATTGCTTGTTATCAATGACAAAGAGAAGAAAACTGACAAAGGAAAATGTTTCACAATAACTAGGTGAGTCGGAAGAGGAATGTAAAGGGATAGAGAGCTACCCTGTAGATGCTAACGATAACGGTGAAATCACTTCTACAGTTGAAATCTCAGACTCTGAGCCTTCAAATGATGATAACCTAGAGGAATTTCCTCTAATTCAAGAATCAAGGAGTCAGTAATATAATTTTAAGTATAAAAACGAAATATAGTGTGTTCACCCACTTCAGTGGAAAGGATTTCATCAGTGATATTTTGTAGCAAGAACTTGGACCATCTCATTTTGCTAAAAGGACATGTGAAGGAACACTTTTATTTCTTCTAATGCTGATATATCAAAATCTACTTCACACAGGAGACCTGTTATGTTTAAAATCTTATTATAAATTCTAATACATTTTCTTCCATGATCCCCTTTTTTCTAACTTCCTGGTACAGGGAAAGTTAAGGCATTTGATAAACTTCTCAGACTCTTTGTAAATGTGAGTCCTGCTGGGAGCAGAAACTGGGGGTTTGGAGATTTGACTGTCTAGCAAAACCAACAGGCCAGTGAGGGGACTTGACGCCTGAGAACCACACCATTTGTCTCAACACCTTGAACGTGGAGTCCACACTGGACTTCTCCAGCTGCTCTGCTTCTTATTGTTGATGGCCCAGTAATAGGGCCAGTGAGGCCATGTGGCTGCATACCCCTGGGGATGGAGAAGCAATTCAAGATGGAAACAGGAAGCTAGAGCATTCTTTCAACAGAGGTGTTCTGCACCAGAACATCCCCACCTCATTTCTGACATGCCATCCCTGCTCCCACACTCCAGGACACGCTGACAGACATGCCTGAGAGAGTTCTCCACTCAAAACACAGTACAGATGACACCACACAATTCCTATTGTCTGGTTCCAGGTATCTTGCTTAGTCACATGGGAGTCAATCAGCACCCAACTCAGAAGCTCTGAGCTTCAGAGTCCTGACAATATTCAGCCATAGCACTGAACAGAACATTGAGGTTGTCTCTGGTGGTGCTAGTTGTGCAGTTTGAACAGACTCTTTTGCACAGATTTATTGAGACCCACTTGCTTTCTTCCATCAATCAACCACAGAGTTGTAGATGATGTCAGCTGCTATTTGGGGAATGACAGTAAATACCTGGAAAGAAGAGCTCCCACTTGTTTGTTTTCCAGGAAACAGAAATAGTCTGGTCTCTAACACTGGATACCAGTGTCCAAGATAGTTGAGCCATCAAAATGGACCAACCAGGAAAAGCTACAAAGAGGTCTCTCAAGATAGTCCACCAAAGACCTAGTCACTTTCCAAGAGAGCTGGTCCCTTTCCTTCTAGACTCAACCATTGCCCCAAATCTTCTGGAGTAACTATTGTGTAAATTTGGAAAATTGCATACATTATTGCTCTAGTGGGGGTGAGGAGGGACTGAAGAGGAGCTTGAGTATAAAAACAAACCAGTATCATCAAACCAGCCCATATATACTGGCTAGGCCATTCCAGTTATTCTAGAAGGGAAGCCTAAGGGGATTGTGCGGTAACTCCTATGGCACTCTGGAAAGTGCTCTGGACCTTAAACACATTTACTGAAGAAGTATTACATCTTCATAGTTGATAACAATACCATGTTTTACTATTTATATGTACTCTCTCAGTTCATCTTTACCCCAACCCAGTCATCCCCACTTACAGACAAGGACAGTGAGGCACAGACATTGAACAAATTAGCCCAAGGACATAAAGTCTCCACCTCTATTGTCAAGGCTTTCAGCTATCAT